TGCTCGTAAATGGATTAATGTGATTAACGGCCGCGGGGAAAAAGTTCGTCCCGGTAATTGGTTCTCTTGTCGGGGCTAGAGAGCCTTCTGCCCCCTGTAACCGAGGCTCTCATTGTTCCCTTTTGCCAAGCGGGACAAGATAGTAGAATGCGGCTTAGGATACGTCCAACGTAGAGAAAGAAATCTGTGTGACGAGGCGATTCTCCCGTGATTCCCCTCTTCTTCAACAAGGTAACAACGTTGAAGAAGAATAGAACTGTAGTACCTACACGACGGTGTAATCGCCGTGCGTCGCTCGAAGAAACGAAACAGAGAGAAAGAAAGAAAGAGAAAGAAAAAAAAGAATTGAAGCGCGACAGGGCATTCGAATGGACTCGTTACTCGGCTATTCGTCCGAGACTCTTGTCTACAAATAACGCAAAGAACGAGGCGACTCCGCTTTTTACCGGCTCGTTCACTCTGTAGTTGATTTCATCCGGGAAAAAGTCGCGAGCAAGCTGTTCCATTGGAGAGACAACGCGAGTGTCCTTGCTCTTTGTATCACCTGTACTTAATTACGTTAAATTTGAAAATAAATCGAAACGACGAATTTTGAGTCATTTTGAGTGGTTTTTCTATGTCACGCGATATGTGAGCGAACTTTTAATTTCAGAATCAGAACACGTATTACAATCAGTAGCTCTATTCGCATACTACGATAAGACAAGTAGGATAAAACGCGAATTTCATGAGAGACACAGCTTCCTTCAAACAACATCCCACACATAAGGGAGAAGCTGCGGAGAGTGTACTGAAAGAGGGAGAGAGGCACGATTTCCTCGTTCATCACGATCCCCGCCGATAAATCAGTACACTTTGCGGTTCCCCATCGTGTTAGAACGGTTCATAAGCAGCATACCGCATCGCAGGGGTGCGGTTATCTTCGCATGTACCGGGTGTGCATTATCTTAGTCGGCGTATAAATACAGCGGAGCGATCGCGGGACGCGTAACAGGCCGTGAAAATGAGCGGCCGACGTTTCTCTTCGACGAGGGTAGCAATGGCATCATCCCTCCGCAGCAGGGGAGGTGGGAGTGGTCGCCGAGTGTTTATAAACGGGATTAGGGGAATCATCGATGGTGTCTCGTGCGGCGCAGGGGTGTGTCTGGCCTCAAGGGAAGGAGGGAAGTGCACTTTCGTCGATGTACGACAGGCCTGGCCGTCGGATACTTTCAATCAACCCGATTGATCGTGTAGTTATCTGGATTCACACGTCCCGTCGGCCGCATTTATTATCCTCGTACCCCACCCCGGCCTGTTCGTATTTGCCAGACTGTTTGGTCAAAGCGTTCGACCGATCGTTGTTTGGATATGCGCCTACTATTGAGACTCCTTCGATTGGATCAAGATGGAATTTTAAATTTCGAACTCGTCCGTCATTTTTAGAACGAGTCCAGGAGATGGTCAATAAATTGTAGTCTACATCCACGAGAAACTTGGAAACTCAACACCAACAGCACGAAACAACGGTAACATCTTCAAGAAAGATATCTGGTGCTGCACTAACTTTGAAACGTTTATCTAAAGGAAAACTAGCGTCGAAAGTTCCATAAGAGAGATCGTAGGAATAAAGATGCGCGATATCTGGTCCGGACGCGCATGGCTACGCGCAGGTTCGCTTCTGCTCTAGAAAATATCGCGAGGCTTTCGAAAAAGTGGCGATACTGGCAGAGAGAGAGAGAGAAAGAAAGAGAGAGAGAGAGGGGTAGGGGAGAGTTTGCACGCGAGGTTGCATGTGGATCGAGCGCGGTGGGCGGGGACAGATATTGGCCACGCCTTTCGCTTCCCCTCTGTAGGCGGCGTGGTGGGGAGGCTCGTATCGCGATTGGTCGGCAACCGGTTCGCGAGGTCGTACCAACATTAATTATTCTAAATAAGTCGTCGCCCCTGCGGCGGCTGATTATAGAGTTTGCAGTGCCATAAATAGAACCCGTTTACAAATCGCGTTCGGGGAATAATGATCGTCGCTGCAAGATCCCGCGTCCTGTTCTTCCTTTTGCATGCTGAACGAAAAACCCAATCAATCCCTGACGTACGAGACGTCGCGATTGGTCTCGCCCTAGGCGTTTTCTCTTTTCGACCAGAGAGTCCCGCCGAGTGACGCGTGTGGTTACGTGTTCCTAACGAACGAATTTACCACGCTTGCCCCCTTGGACCAACCTGCTTCTTGCTGGAATACATTTGAACGGCAATCAGCCCGGAGACGGATGACAGTGTCAAATTTCGAGGTAGAACTCTTGCCTGCTCCCTTTTTTACTACATCTCTGCCGAATCTTGGATACGGGATGAATTAACCGACCGCGGCTCCTCTTTTTCTTCGTGGTGAATGGTCGAGTCACAGACGTATCGATACTTTTCAACAGCAAGTGACTTGAATCAGGTCTAAACTAAAACTGTAACTTTTTTCTCTAAGAAAAAAAAGTTTTGTTCTCTAGTGGCCGAGTCACGACTGGATTGTTAGATCAATTTACCACGATCAATCTCTCTTCGACAAATAACAGTGTAGCACGTTTAAATACTACGGGAAGACCGTGTTGAAAACTAGTTCAGAGTATCTCTCTCCTCCGGAGTTGTAGTGCTCCGACTGGAAAGCGGTGCTCCGTTTCTCAGACGAGGCCACTATTGATGGATAGACACGTTATGGTTATTTATAGCGGCTATCTCTATTATTGTTCTTACATGAATCTAACCGGGGGCTAACGATCCCTTTGTGGTTCATGTGGCAGCTGGTATCCCTAGGTGTGGTCATTAATAAAACCGTGATCTCTAACAACCAGAGTGCTACAGCACGTTTCTTTGCGAACTTTAGCTTGGCCGAACAAAAGAATTGCCTTCTGTTAGCCCTCGACGGCTAATCCGACCGTAGCTAGAAATATAATTTTGAAAGCCACGGGTGAAAACGTGTTGCGTTCGTAAGAAAGAGAACGCTCACGGAGAACAGGTGTTGCTCAACCTATGCAGAGAATTTTATGGGCATGTAAAGCGTCGACTTTTCGCGATTCCTTCCTTCGGTTATAATCGAGACTCGACGATTATCTCCGCTAGGATTGTCTATTACGCTATCTACTATCTTATAAAATGTTCGATTCCACGCTCTTTCCACTAATCACGTTTATTCCAACGAACGAACGTTTTTACTTTATGCAATAATTACACTCTCCGCGATTACCTGCACCGGAAGCGTTTGTTTCCAAACTCTAAATGCCAGGTTATTTATTGTCAGCCGGCTAAAATTTACGAATTTTCATTAATTACGATCTAATAATGAAAATCGGTGTGCACGTGACCGGTGAATTCACGAGATACGTTTTGTTAGAGGGCTTTAATTGGCACGATTTTAATGACGGCTCCTTAGAAGTCTCGCGTGCTCCTAATGCATAGGTTCACTCCTTTCATGTCGTGAGCAAATAACGTTTCCACCAGAAGAAGAGAATCTCGTGCGATTAGACGTTAAAAGGGTTAATGACTGTAATTTTCTCTTTACTGGTTAACGGCCGAGTGTGTCGTCGCTATTTCTAATGAAGTTAATTACGCCAAGTCCGAGTGTCCGCGACACACATATCAGAATCATAACAATCCTAGATTTCAGCTGAATGATAAGGGTTCGTTCACCGTTCATTAGAAGCTGTAATGAAAGAAACAACCCCTTTCGCGTCGGACAATTTATGAACGCGATCCTAATCCAGTTACCGGAGATTTTCTGGATTTTATCACGTGTGAGAGTGATGAGGGTGCAAACCGTACTTTAACTTCTAACCCTAACCAAAAGATTGATAGAAGTAAGTTATAACATATGCAGATTGGATGATGAGCCATACAGTTGTCCGTCTTTGAACAAACAATCAATTGAGGCATATAAACTGAAATGAAAGAGGAAGAAGAAATGAATGGTAGGAAGAAGGAAGCTGTGGACCAGCATCTGCACCACGGATAATACATTTGTTCGTTAACCGTCACGGCGCTCCACCCAAAAAGAGCAGAGATGGTGGGAGAGGGTTCGTTCGACAGCGGATGGTCGTGTAAATTTTTGTATAAAGCGATTTCGACGTCGAACGATAAAATTCACGTCAGTGAAAGAGAACGCTTGTCGACTCGAAGAAATGAATTAGCTGCCTCCGGATAGAAAAGCGAAGGTGGGGAGGAACAAAAGTATGGAGTAGTGGGCATCGAGAAGTAGGAGGGGAGGGTTGACGGGCGTGGCTTGTCGGGGAGGGGCAACATTGTGGGCGATATCTTGGCTGAGGACGGTGGTGGGGGGAGAAAAGGGGCGGGGAAAAGCTGGCGCTTTTACTGACATTCGCAGTGGCGCGGATATCTTCGTTTTTTGAAGTAATATTGCCAAATTACTCGGAAACATTACGAATATTTTTCCAGCGTATGCGAACAGCAATTAACAAGGCGTATAACCAGGTCTTATGACCACGGTTCTTTCTTAATAGTATTAAAAAATTCGGAGAACGGAGACACAACCTGATGTACACTCTTTTAAGTAAAGACGCTTTTAATTTTGTATAATTTCTCCCGAAAATGGTCAAGCATTTCATGGACATAGAAGGAAAGTGGTGCCTGAAAAGAACTTGACAACATATTTTTCCCAATGTAGCGATACGTAGAAGAGTACGTGGAAAAAACGGTCATAAGTGAGACAAAAATCTGGTCGCCGTTGAAACGAGACTGGAACACGATGCAGTAGCATCGATCGTAGTAAACTCCAGCCCCCTACTATCCGTGCCACTGGTAGTGGGGGGCGATCGAACAAAAGGTAGTAGGGATAAACCTTACGCCAGTGGGCGGGGCTTATGACTGAAGAGTTAATAGAGATACAATCGAGGGTGTCTAGTGCACTGCACTCCAGACTAGGGCGTAGGAGGAGTGAAGGGGCGAGGGGGACGGAGGGGAAAGCGGTAAGTAGGGACCACAGGTCCCCTAGTTTAGACATCACTGAGCGACGGATGGACAGCCAGTCAGACCCGTCACAGCACTCGCTCGAGTCCTCGGAAACCTCAAGAAAAGCCAATACTAAGGAGACTTGCAGTTCTTGAAGTTGATCCGAAGACAAACCGTTAATCTCGCTTCGGGCGACAGACATATTCGACGTGGCAATGCCTTGCCACTAGACGAACCTGCCATAAGAGCAGAGGATACCATGTACTGTCCATAAATATTACGCAATACGCGGGAACAGAACTTTCGAGACGTCAGAGGCGGCTGGAGCGCTTGAAACCAACCAATCTGTGATCTATAAAGTATCAGTGAAGACAGTACAGTGACACGTGCGGTGATCCTGAGGGAAACTTTCACGGACGATATTAAACAGTGAGCCAGTGTCCTGACTAGTGAACCTTGGCAGACTAGAAACGTGACAAGTGTGACTCTGTGCACTTTCACAAGTATGACAGCAGAGGATTAACATCGCCATTCGCCAAATTTCATCGTTCAACCGTCACGAGAGAGACAACAAGGGAAAGATTTAAAAGACCGAAAGATGAGCGTAGCTCTCGTGACAATGGACTCCGCGTATGGCCTTCGACTGGGAATTGGCAGCCACCACCATCATCATCACCATCACCATCATCATCGGGTGCGCTCGCCCGAGAGTCACGTGGTTCCTCATCAAGATCAACAACCAGATCAAAAAGATGACATCGAAGTACCATTGAGATTCAGCGTGGTAAATATTCTCAGACCGGATTTTGGTCGAGAGGCGATTCTCAACACGAAAGCACCGAAACAGACCAATTTGGGGGCCGATCATTCGACGACAATCCCAATTCCGATTCCTCGTAACAGTCCTCTTTCTCTGCCACGTGATTTGAGCCTGTCGTCGAGCCAATTGTCACCCACGAGGCCACAGCCTAGCAGTTTCTCCGTGCACAGAGAAAGGGATCTGTTCTCTTCTCACTGCGGGCTGACATCACCCCTTCAGAGGAGCACTGGCCTCAGCAGAAGCGGAAGTCTCGAGAGCTTGGCCAGCAGCAGAAGCTCGGTTACCGGAAGCTCCGTTACCGGAGCACCTTCATTGGGTTCCACGTCCTCTACCATTGGCAGCGACTCCTCAAGCGGAGACAGCAGTTCCGGAAATACGTCTAATGCCACCGCCAACCCAACTGGACTCAACGGACAAAGTCCCTGGCCTGCGTGGGTTTACTGTACCAGATACTCCGACAGACCTTCTTCCGGTAGGTTTCTTTACTTTAAGTCTTTCAGAATCTTTTGCGAGAAATTTAAAAATGTCTTTGTCTATAGTTATCAAAATCTTCAATTTAACCAACAGATAATATCTAACAATATTGTTGGAACGTGTCACACGAGCATTTATTAGGGAATTAATAACTCTAATATAAGCGAGCTGTGAAACTGATAGATCGCTCTAGGTCCCATATCGCGACTAGCCGGCCATAGCTCGTGTAACTCTGCCGCTGCTGTTTCTCTGTGCATCAGCTTAATCAATTTACCTTCGGCAACCGTTACGTCCCGAAACCAGTTTCTATGTAAATCAACGCCGCGTTCCACGAGACCGCCGTCGAAAAGCCCCGCAGCGCTCGATAGGTATAAAGCCCGTCCAATCGCGATCTTACTCCAGCGTTGTAACGCGATCGAACTCTATAAAGACGTAAGTTTAACCTATCTGAAAGTCTCGGAAGGAACCGATCGGTACCGAACTATCGGGCTGCATGCTTTATGTATAATTGAGAGTCTTGGCACAGGGTGAACGTACCACTTTGAATACACCACCTGTGCTCGTTCGCAGAACTCGTCACTCTCCTGAACCTATAACCGCGATCTACCTTCTGCGACCGTGGTGTCCCAGATACGCGGCTTCTATCTAACCGGCAGGGTGGTCCGCCACTTTACCACTCGATTATCGTCCTTGCTAATTACTTGAATTCGTTGCTTGTCTTACTGTTAATTATAAACGATACGCGATCTCGACTGAAAAGTGATCGACGCTTGATGGTGGATTTTAATCGAAAGTTTATTGTTGCGTAATGATGTATTGGGAGGATGGTTGTTTGAGATTCTTTCTGATGAGGAAATCGAAACGGAGAAACTTGCGTTCCAGATATTTCTTTATTTGGGAATTTTTTAGTGTTTGGGATGAAATTGGATGTTAGCCTGGAGAAACAGAGTCGTGACTTCTCGCAATTTCTTGAACGTAATAATTTTTTTTATTTGAAAATAAATTGTCCATTAAACAGAGTTTATATGGGAATTTCCGTTGTTCGAACAACTATCGTTGAAATTGAATCGTGAAATTCGCCATCAGCTTCGAAAACACGTAGACAGGTAGACATTTGTGTTTCCTTAAAGAACTCTGGACGATTTGTTTCACGAGGAATTCTAGTTGATTCCCCTGTTAACGCGAGATTCAGCGATAAAGCTGCCTCATGAATATTCAATGCCTGTCAACGGTGTTTCCAATAATTTTTCTAAACGTCACGAAAACACGACAGGCGGCGATCGCCGGATTAATATAGTAATTCTGGCGTCCCGTGACGTGAAAAGATAATCCCCGCGTTTCAAAATCCAAGGAAAACTCTCTTTAATTGCGTTTATCTAACGAAACATCAGAATTCTCCTAAATCTAAATCACAGTACCTTACGCTTTATCGTATCGTGAAACGCTTATTGGAACACGATTTATGGACGATGGTCGCGCGCCGCGTCATAAGGCCCTTCTCCATTTGAGAGTCTCTTGCGAGAGTTACTCTCCATTTCTCTCTGCATTTTTTTTTCTCTTAAACAGTTGAGCGATGCTCTTGGACAATAACTCTCAGAAGCAGTATCCATTTGCGAGAAATACTCTTGCGACACTTTTACTCTCAAACAGAGAAGGGCCTTTAGCCTTGGAAATTCCATTTCTATTCCTAATTCGGTGAAAATTGAGAACAACTGAGAACGCTTATATGTACGTAGGTACGTATAATCGAACGGAATGGAATCGTAACGTGATCGAAATCGAAGGAGCATGGAATTAACGAGCAATTAACCGGTTGCTTTTCAGGACCGCGAACGAGGAGGGTGAAACGATCGCAGAACGGGAAGAACGGCTCGCCGGAAGAGAAGAGACCGAGAACGGCGTTCAGCGCGGAGCAACTGGCCAGGCTGAAGAGGGAATTCGCGGAAAATCGATACCTGACCGAGAGAAGGCGGCAGCAGCTCTCCCGAGACCTGGGCTTGAACGAGGCGCAGATTAAGATCTGGTTCCAGAACAAAAGGGCAAAAATCAAGAAGGCCAGCGGGCAGAAAAATCCGCTGGCTCTTCAATTGATGGCCCAAGGCCTGTACAATCACTCGACGGTGCCCGTTGACGAAGACGGCGAGGAAGTCGTGACTGGAAGCAATCATTCGCACTAATGACGAGCAACGTGTCCTCGAGAGAGTCGTTCGTCGTTCCCGAGAAATTTTATACGTACACCAACAACCGCGTCGCAACAACGTTTCCAGCCGCGATCGAAACGATCGCGAAATGATCGGGCACCGCGATTTGAAATCGATCGCGTGATCACGGGATTTTCGTACGGAAGCGTTTAAATGGGAAACGGAAGTAGAAAATGCGACTTCGAACGATCCACGACAATACTTACCAGAACGACAGGATCTTGATCTGATTTTACGTAGCTATGCTAAGCGATTACCAAATAATTTTCTACTTTAGCTTAGACGTAGCTGCAGCGATGCTTCTTGAAACAGAGCAATCTGGAGCGATTTGTAAATCAGCGAAAGAGATAGATAGATAGATAGATAGAGAGAGAGAGAAATCACTCGCGTTTTTTCGTACGATCACAGACTGAATCCTTACATTTATCGGCTACAAGTATGTTATATCGACATATATATGATTCCAGTACGCACGAGCCCCGGTACGATTACTTACCTTACATTAGATTTAAATTATTTATTTCCCTTGTATATAATTGTAAATACGACGTGGTCGTGATGTGTATATGTATATAATTTTTAATTGCCGAGCAAAGACTATGCACCGTATCATTGTGTAGGTGTGTACGGATCGCGTGAATACGAAAAGGATCTCACATTGTATGTATATTTCTAACTATCGTGCGAGTCTATATAGCAGCCTATATAGATCTCTCCCTACGTAGGTACACATATCTATTATGTAGACAGATTTGGAAAAGTACGCGGTCGATATAATCTATGTAACCCGCTTACATGTTGCCACCGATTAAATCGAAATAAATAAATAAATATATATATATATAAATAAATATATATATATATACATGTATGTACAACTTTTTCCACGTTATTTTTCCTGTCCCTGGATACCTCGCACGTGAGTCCTTTCCGATTCACCTTGCAACCTCCGGCGCCAACCGTGAAACGATCGACAGAGAAATCCAAGATGCTGCTCCCTGTCGTAATTTTCATTTTAATAACGACGAAAGGTTTCACTTCGAACGCCGGGAGCAATTAAGTATTTTCATTCCCCTTGCGACGAACAATTAATATTCACCTCGAGCAGCGGAATTTCAATTCGAATTGGAGTTCGTCACTCCGCGTACCGTGGACGATGATTGAAAAAAAAGAAAAGAAAGAAAAGAAAGACAAAAAAAGAAGAACGATCGTTTATGGCTTCGAGCGACCTCGAGACGAAAGCGGAGCAAGCGTAATTAGCAATGTTCACGTGGCCGAAAAGCATGCGGATCGTGGAAGAGAACGTCGTTTGTGTGTCACGATATCGTTTTCGGTGACACGCCGTGACGCGGTAATTGATGGCAAATTAACGAGCCACCCGGTATCCCGAGCGCGACCGACAAATGGTACGTGGCGAGGATGACAGTGCGCGACTAGTTCAAACGCATTCGCGCACATGTCGCTGCCGATCGACACCGGATAAGCGATATATGCACCTGTTAGACACAGCCATGCGACGACTGCCTGCAAACAGATTTATGAAAGAGCGTTTTATCTTCCTCGGGGAATGTCGGAAACATTCGCGCTCGTTACTCGAACACGGCCATCACTCCTTGGAAGCTGTTCTCCTTCGTCGGGGATATCTCTAGTTTAACGCCAGAAACTGTCAATTTGTGACTCTTCGAGCAGAGGCATTTAGTAAACCTAAATCCTCCCAGTCCCTGATAAATCCTCCTGTATCTTTCATTTTAATTTCTGTCGTACACATTGTCAACCCTGGTCATCGGACTGAATACGTTTCGGTCTCTGCGCGCCAGAAATCGTTCGAAACCGATGAAATTTATACGTCTAACCGGCCGATGTCGAATAAAAGGATGTCGACAAGTTGAACGTTATTAATTGTCATTAATTTGAACGCAACGGTAGCAGACGAGGTTCAGTATTCACATCTCTGCTGTCGCACGAAAATGTATAGGTATACAGGCGGACGGTGGCCGAAACCAGGGATAAATTACTGAGTCGTTGTCGTTGGCCATTGTATTTGAACGTGACGATCCCTAATTGGTAATTCTATCGCGGACCTCGTTGCACTGCGCACGACGTAATTGCGTGTCACGCTATTTTCGTGTACGAAAGGCAAATTCGATTTTGCTTCGTTCGATCGTTTTTTTTTTTTTTTTTTGCTCCGAACGCGAGGGACACCGCCGTAATTTTGTTGCAGGAGTCTGGGGGCAAATTATCGGTCTGCCTTTCTAATTTACTCGCGAGGAATTAGTTCGATAAACTCGTTCACGGATAACCTCGTGTACCAGTTGTTTGTTTACCGAGTCCATTCGCGCAAGATTATAGTACCCTCGGGCAGAAAATTGACAGACGTTAACTAGGTATCACGGCACTTATGCTAGTTTCTTTCATACTAGATCAATGATATTACACACTTAAACTGATGATACTATTACTATTCTTTCAGACGATCGCGAAATAAAATATCACATTCCTGACTTTCGGATCGCTGAGATAATAACTTAATAATAAACAAAAGAGGACAAGGACAAACTGTCCATTTCAACTCACCCAATACGGTCTGATTTTAATATTCGGACTGAATCTAACGGAAGAGAACGTGAGTCAGGTCGCGTATTTCAATCCTGACCAACGACCGTCCATACGGGGAGTCACCGTTATTAATTATCATTAATTTAAACGCGGAGAACCGTGGGGTGGTTGGTGGTTGTCCGCGGGTTAAAACGACGCGAGAACGGCGCGAGAGGCGGTCACACGATGAGTGGAGAGAGAGAGAGAGAGAGAGAGAGAGAGGAGAAAGAGGGGAGAACGAAGCGCGTTGGCGGCGTTCTCTTCCAACGTTGTGAAACAAACGTACAGGATGGTGTCCCAAACCGGGGATAAATTACAGAGTCGTTGTCCTGGCCATTGTATTTAACTGCGACGATACGTAATTGCTGGTACGCCGTTGCATACACGACAGAGAGAGAAAGAGAAAGAGAGAGAGAGAGAGAGAGAGAGGAGAGAGGAGAGAGCAAGAGTGGCCGAGTACAGGGTGGAGAAAACGAGTTAGAAACCCTGTGGGGAAGCTAGGGCGAAGAAGATAGGGTGGCCACCAAGAGAGAAGACCAGGGAAGTAGAGGAAGGCAGTTGCCACTGTGGTCGAGAACTATAGTCATCGGAATGGCCATTAGGGGTCTCTACGGTTCCAACAGTGGCTCACTAAATTTCACCTTCTTGCACGGTCCGCGACTACCTTGCGAACCGTCTACAATTAATGGCACCTTAGCTGGGTGTATATTACAATATCAGTGAATAGGTAGGAGCTACCATACGTCAGGTATGGTTTAACTGGAGAAATTGAAATTACTCTGTGTTCAGTTTCCAAAGCAAACGTCGCGCTATCATTAGCGTTAATGGTAGAATGGTATCAAACGATTGGAGCCAATAAACCAATGAGGAGTTTAATTAATTTTTATAAGTCAAGGTCCATTATCCCGATTCAAGTACATATGTACGATGATTCCGTTTTAGCAATAATTTATAAAATACAATAACAACAATAGTTGATACAGTGAAGTGTGCATTTATTGCTTGCCAATGACACAACGCGGATCAAATAAATATGGTTCAAGCTATCGATTGGCGATCCTTTAAAGAGTTTCAACTTTCAGGCACGCGTGCTTTCGTGCATTTGGACGAGGAATCTACCGCGTTAAGAACGTAATTAATTAATCGTCGAAGTAAAAATTGGCGAGAATCGGAACGTTCGGAGATCACCACCTGGATCCAGGCTGGATCAAAAGGCGTGCTCCGGTTAGCGTCTTCGAGAGAGGACGGTTTAGCTGCCGGTTTTCTCTGGCTGCGGTTGTGCGGCTAACGAGTGTAACGAGGCATCCTGCCCCGTCAAATTAAAGGCGGGCCGCGCGAGAGGCGAAGCGAAATTTATCGCGCCGCTTTCGGGAACCGCGGGTAAAGGCCACTTAGCTGCCCGTAAATGCGTCGTCTCTATGACGACACGGCGGCAGATGTCTCGCCAATAGATCACCCCGTACGAGCGGAGAAAGAGGCTTTGTGAACGCGTGTCTCTCATCGCGAGCATCGCCGATGCACGTGAAAGAGCCCGCGTATGAGTTATGTCGTAACGAGTCGCGACGTACTTTTTCACTCGCGCACGCACTCTGCGTTGCGAAAAGATTCTTGGCTCGGCAAAGGTCAAGATTCATTGCGGCTAAGCCGAGCGTGTAATTTTAATTGCGGATTTAAAGGCTCGCGGACCGTGTAAGATATTCGAGCTAGAGAATTAAATGAAACTGAATTTGTCTCAAAACTGCCTGTACACACAAAAGGAAGAGGTTGTGTAATTGTCTTGTTAGAAACTATAGAAAAAAGAGCGGCCATTCGAGAGGAAAAAAGGCATCGTCCGTGTCTTGCAGAGGATTCGAGAATTAGTAGAAGGATTTATTAGGAAGTTGCGGAAACTCGATGTTCGAACATGGTTACAGAGTCTCGTTAGGTTACAGAATCTCATTGATACCGGTTGCTAGACTGTTTTTGTTGGCAGGAAAAATCGTTTGACGGGGATGTTGACGACGCAGCAACCGTTTTATTGGCATGCGTGAACGCTGGTACGTCGGACGAGAAGTCCGTGTCAGTGAAATGTCACTTGCATCGGTACGACCGGCTGTATCCCTGGGCTTGCGCCCCCTTTGGTTATCCATACACCGAAACCAATCGCTTCGTCAAGCCGATCTTCGACCACCGACGATACATTATGCACTTTTCTCGTCACTGACATTTATCGATACAGGATAGTTTGTAGGTCATCTTCTGGGACCTTTGCAACTTACATTAGTTCTATTCTCGCGATGCACGATAGAAGTGATAAATGATCTAGAAGAAGCGTAGCTTCGATTCTCTTTCTTTACTGTTATATGCCTTCAAAATTAACAGAAGATCAATTTAGAAAAAAATAATTTGCTGCCCTCTTGGAAGATTTTTAGTTTTCGAAGATTGTTTTTATCCCCAATTTCTTTGGTATCAAAATCGAGGTCGTTGATACGAGTATCCGAAATAAATTATTTCAGCGGATATTTAAATCTACGATCAGGCAAAGATTCGTCTATATTATTCCCAGCGAAGGAACAAAATAATTTTTGTCAGTTACATCGTTCAGCTATTTAATCTCCTCAATTGCGAATGGCGAGCGTTTCGTGGAAAACGAAGGAAGACGAAGCGGAACGTCCATCAAGCGTTGCTGCAATCAGCCGGATTAATCGGTCGGTCCTTTCGTTTTTGGCCACTCTAAATCTTTCTGGAAAAATAGAGCAAACGGCCCGGGCAGATTGCTCGGGTTGCTCGACGGCACCACCACCGCGTGTGTGCATGGCACACCGCGAATTTTCATCGAGCCACTCTTCTCGAGCGTCGCGCGCTATTTCAGCTCGTTAGGATAACGAGGATCTAATGTCGCGTTCACAGCCCGGCCAATTACGCGTTACGGGCCGAGGAGCGCGTCTTTCGGCGGATCCGCGTTGCGACCGTGCTGCTGTCCGGAAACGAAGATAACCACCAGGTCCAACTTTGTAATTAATTAAGATAATTTCGCCGGATTTTTTTGTTGACTCCGCCGCTTCCATTCTCTGCGCGACGTGCCAAAGATCGAAAGACTTTTTTTTCACTTTGAAAATGAAAATAGTCAAGTCGAATTCAAGAATTTCGAAAGAAATCTCGACGCACAGAATTTGCGATAAATGTTCCAATAAATTGTTCACGAAAGCGTCGAAGTCGTCAATCGGGT